TACACAAGTCTTGAGAGTGCCCACAGAGAAAAGATTCAGATGAACAAGCACAATCTGATCCTTTGCAGCACTCATTTTGGCCATTTGACCATTTACATGAATTCTTAATTTGACTGAACATTTATGTTTATACTATACAAGGGGGATGCAGATAGATGCGTTTGATACCAAGCTATTAGGGCAGTAATAGATTTTTTTGAGCTTTTGTTCCCACCAGCTGACAACTCTCTGACCCACAATCAGAAGTGACCTATAAGGCTGTATGTCTTTAAAACAATGACTTGAGCAATGAAGGTACATGTATTGTAAATATTCTACAAACCTTATTACTGATTATTGATTGATATAACTCCATCATGTCCCACAGAGATGTGCCAAGTCATGCATATTTCACAAGCCACTCATCACACTCATTCCCGTATTTATAAATCAGTCTTTAAGTAGATCATAAATTATAGGCCAAGCACTTAGTGTTAACCTTCAATATCATTGCAACATTTATTTGGCTTATTAAAAAGCCTCACACACTCTGGGTATAGGGGTTGTAACCTCTTGTGTCCTTTGCAATTGCCTTGTTTTGAACTTCACAAATCCTTAATTTAATTCATAGTCCAGCAGGCCTCCTTTTTCATATCAAGCTTTTTATCTTGAAACCTTAGAGATTTTATGATATTGCCATACTTGTGATATTATAATAATTTGATCCACAGTATCTATGTATCCTAATCATGTTCACATGAACCAGGGTTTCACAAGTAGGGTTCCCCCAGAGATTGCTAGGGGTCCCTTGAGCAATGAGCAATTTCTGCCTCTCGGGTAAGTTTCCACTTACACCGTTGATCTTTTTAGCTATCTGCAAGGGGGTAATACCAAATGACTACAAGTGTTACGGGCATTCCTCCCACTAACCACCATGATAATGTATCATGAGTTGTAGATATAGTCAATTTTCACAGGGGTTCCCTGAAACTGGAAAGTTATTTCAAGGGTTCCTCTGTTTTGAAAAGGTTGAGAAAGGCCAACATGAACATTCAGAGCCTGGCCCATAATTTATGAACTACATAAAAATTAAGTTATGATAATTGTGGATCTGTGTGTGATGTAGCCACATAGTTTGGGTAAAACTTATTCTGAAAATTGTGTTATAGAACCTAGTCTGAACTCTGAATTGCATCTATCTATGGTTAATTCCTGTAAAAGGACTACGGGGTTGAGTTACTAAAGGCAAATAGACTGTGAGCTTTGAAAAGTGCAGTTTCTTTCTGCAAGAGCAGTTGCCCCAGAGCTTAGGAAATGAGCAGAAGCTCTGCTGACTTCCATCCAGTCACATGCAAGCAAAAATGCTGTTTTTTTTCTTTACATGTGATTGGATATTCTTTGCAATGTGAAACTTTACCTCATTTACTAAGCTTTGGAACAACTGCATTTGCAGAGTGCACAGTATATTTGCCTTTAGTAAATCAACCCCTCTGTATGCTTAAGGTAGAACTATAGGCAAAACATATTATTCATTTTGGATAGAGTAAGGGAGGATCATGACCTATTTTATTTTAATTTCTTGTCACCTGTGTCCCATTGGTGAGATTTCCCTTCACTACCTGTCCCAGAACCAAAACAGGAAGTAAGAGGAAATTACTTCAAATTAATCACTTGACCTCCTGAAGATTCCCCCCCCCCCCTTTCATAACCAGGCCATTTTTTTTTCCTTTTTGGCACTGCATTACCTTAACTGACAATTGTGCAGTCATGCAACACTGTACACAAATTACATTTATATAATTCCCCCCCCAAAATAAAGCTTCCTTTTGGTGGATTTGCACACTACTGGGTTTTTTTTGTTTTTGCTCTATAAACAAAAAAGACCAAACATTTTGAAAAACAAACAGTATTTTTTAATTTCTCCTATAAAACGTATTTATAAAATTAAAAATCAAATTTCTTCATAAATTTAGGCCAATATGTATTCTGCTACATATTTTTGTTAAAATAAAAAAACCCAATAAGCGTATAGACTGTTTACACAAACGTTATAGCATCTACAAACTATGGTATATATACTGTAATCTTTCTTTCTTTCTTGTAATGGAAGCAATCAGCAACTTATTGTGGAACTCCGATATTGTGGCGGACAATCTGACACTGACTGACACTTTGAGGGAACCAGTGACACTTACACAGTGATTAGTGCTAAAAATATGACACTATACTAATGACACTGGCTAGGAAGGGGTTAAACATCTAGTGCAATCAAAAGGTTAAATGTATGCATAACCACTGTTTTTATGTGTGTATGTTCAGGTACTTTCACTAAGGGATGTGCTGGATTTTATTCCCTGCTTCACAGGAAAACAAAATTCAGCACATCCCTGCTGACAGGACAGAGCTGTAGCTTGTTTACATAAGCAGAGCTCTGTTTTGTCTTTCTCCTCGCCAATCAGTGGGTGCTGATGGTGCTCCTATACTCAAAAATGCCGGATCACGTACCTAGTGCCGAATCACCACAGGAGTGCCACTCTGCCACCATATAACTAGGTTATGTGGTCAGCAATTGGTTAAAGTGTTACTAAACCTAGGTCCCTGCCTTCACTATATCGGGTCTCCCACAGTACATGTAATTGCAATTATTTCAGTAAATATAAACTGCTAAATACTTTCTCTCATCAGTAGTTAGAGCAGTCTTGTGACTTCTATCTGTGTCCAGCCCACCACTAACTAAAACTTGTAGCAGGAGTTTTCTTTTTGCTCTAGGAGAATGGAAATCCCCTGACCTCTGTCTGGACAGTGCTGATTGGCCCTGTGCCAATCACATGTACTCTCCCAAGAATAAAAATAAAACCTCTCTAGCAATACACACCAAACTGAGCATGTGCATGCTTACAGTCCAGTCAAGAGATAAGAGGGGGTCACTTGAAAAAGGGGAGGAACAGAGAAGAAAGGAAAAGCCTTTTTACACAATGCAGAGGATTACCCCCTTAGGTTCCACAGTGAGTATAACAAACATGCTTTACTGCATATACAGACTGATTTTACTGTTGTGGCTTTAGTAACACTTTAAGGGAATTGCTAGGGGACCCCCAGATCACCAGAACTAGTGTCTCCATTGGAAGATTTCCCCTCTATTACTTTTATGGGGAAAACCCAACATTTGGGATTTCCTTTTACTTTCTCTTTCAATGATAATGGTAAACAGGACACATAGAGAGGATGAATCTCACTGAAGGGTGCACAGACAGCTATAAAGCCAGGCAGGTGTTCTAATCCCTCGCCACTCTGTCCGAAACTAAAATACAAAAATACAAATTTGTCCTTTAGTTGTACTATAAGAAACAAAGTCACAGATATAACAGGTGGGTAATCAAAAAAAAATCAGAATGTATCAATAACAAGTAGATACAACTGTCACATAGAAATGTAGCAATACAAGAAGCAATAAAACGATACAGTAGGAGAGAAACACTTGCACAAACAAATTTACAATGTAGAGAAATAGAGTGGAATGCACAAGTAAGGGAAAAATAAGGAAGCTGTATAGGTGACAGTGTGTACCTTGCTGTCTGGTTGAGGAGGAAGCAGTTCTGATTACTGAGAAACAACTCCAGTACTGAGAACTCACTTTACTGCATTGCTCATTGTACTTCACAGAAGAACTCACCTAGCTGTCCATCATGCCGACCCTCCAACCTAAAAGAGACGTTCATTTTTCTGACCATGTTTAATGTTACACCCATATTTAGGGTATACATGACACATGGTCAGAGTCTGCAGACCTACTACCTTTCAGAATTCAGGGGGTTCTTCTCCTCTCTAGCTCCTGTCATTTTTTTTTTTATTTTGTCTGTGCATGGCGACATTCAGTTACAAAAATCTGTGAATGGAAAAACTACAAGTCCAATCTTCCACCACAGTAGAGGGGCTCGTAGTTCTCAATGGAACATACAGTAAGCGCAGTGGCATCACTTCTCTTTTAGGCGATGATACTTCCTCCAGCCCCATAACTGAAGGTCCATACTTCGTGATAGACCTGTGGCTGGTTAAAGAGTCTGTGGGATCCACTGTTCACGGTTGCAATGGTTTGCATGACCCAATTTAAAAAAAAAATTATAAATGCATATTTTTATCAAAGTAGAACTATAGACAAAAACTTTTTTTTTTCATTTTGTATAGAGCAAGGGAAGGTTATATCCCCTCAGATTTTTTGCCATCTGTGTCCCATTGAGATTTCCCTTCATTTCCTGTCTTACAGCCAAATAGTAAGTGAAAGGAAATCCCTGCAAATTAGGGAATTGCTTGGGGATCCCCAGGTCACCAGAGCTAGTGTTCCCATTAGAAGATTTCCCCTCTACTACTTTTCTGAAGACAAACCAAAATTTAGGATTTTCATTTACTTTCACTTTCAATGATAATGGTAAACAGGACAAATAGGATGAATCTTCTCAACGGGGGCACAGACAGCAGTAAAAACTGACAAGCGTTCTAATTTCTCTGCACTCTATCCATGACTAAAAAAATAGTTTTGCCTTTAATTATACTTTAATCATTATGGTTGCTTTAAATTATTATTACTTTTACTTTTTTTTTTGCAAAAAGTGAACTATGTCTTAAAAAAGAAAAGGGTGTATTGAAACCCTTGAAAAAATTTATTTACATTCTGTTCCCCACTGGGTAGATTTCTCTTCATTTTACTACTTGTCCTGTAACAGGAAATATCTCCAAAGTAAACAAAGTGTCCTCTAAGACATCTGCCATTGGAACAATGGTTTTTATTGAAATATTTCTCTCTATTCCTGTTCTAGTTCCAACTTCTGGTATCAGTGATCGCAAATCAAGGGTGAATCTCCCCAACAGGGATATGGAGAGAAATAAAAATCTGACTTTACCCAACAGAAATTAAAGTGTTAATAAACCCACAACAGTAAAATCAGTCTGTATATACAGTAAAGCATGCTTGTTATACTCACTGTGGAACCTAAGGGGTTAATCCTCTGCATGGTGTAAAAAGGATATTTGATCCTGACTTCTCTGATCCTCCCCTTCTTCCAGTTTCCCCTTCTTATCTCCTGATAAGACATATCATGCAGAGACACTCTGCACATGCTCAGTATGGTGTATATTGCTAGAGAGGTTTTTTTTCTTGGGCGAGTGCATGGGATCAGCACAGGGCCAATCAGCACTGTCCAGACAGTGGTCAGGGGTTCTGCATCTTCCTAGAGCAGAAAGAAAACTCCTCCTACAACTTTAACCAGTGCTCTGCTGGACACTGATAGAAGTCACAAGACTGCTCCAACTGCTGATGAGAAAAAGTATTTAGCAATTTGTATTTACTAAAATAATTGCATTTCCATGTAGTGTGTACTTTTGAAGACCAGACAGAGTGGGTTTAGTAACACTTTAAGCTTTGCATGTGGCTTTCATACAATTACTTACAATATATCTTAGTTGCTAAGATCATTTGGTCCCTGCTTTACATATACTGTATGTCTGATTTGCCCATCACCATTGATGCAAGTTAGGTTGTACATGATTGGGAAGAAGCCGTAAGGTTTACTAAACCTGGAGTGTGCAAAATCTGGCGCAGCTCTGCATAGAAACCAATCAGCTTCCAGGTTTTATTGTCAAAGTTTTAATGAGCAAGCTGAAGTTAGAAGCTGATTGGCTGCCGAGCACAGCTGCACCAGATTCTGAGTGCTCCAGTTTTAGTAAATCTCCAGCACAATCTGGTTGTACAGGACTATAACCCAGGCCTTCATGTAATTTTGTCACATTCAGTGCTTGACATATGATGTGGAAAAGGCCAGGGACCTAGCCATTTTCAAAGTGCAGTTACACTGCGTACAACAATACGTCAGTATAGTATTACACTGACAGAATAATGGAGATTCATGAGTTCCTACTAGTCACTTAGTGAGCTGTTTTAAGCTGTTATTTCAAGCAAAATTACATAACTTGACCAGCTGAATTGCAACCTTGAAAAAGTGGAATTGCAAAGCCTATTTACTGCACCTTCATATAACCTTTTATAAGAAATGTCAGCTGTAGAATTATCCCCCAATTTCCCTGTTCACATAGTACCAAGGCATAAATCACGAAACTGAGCTTTATGTGACAACAACAAATCAGTAGTTTGTATCAGCATTTCCAGCATGTACTGATGTTCAAGAAACTGAACAAGTATACCATTTGCCAATACGTTAGCTGTTCCTATTCTTTTGAATTCTTTTGCATATTTATAACTTCATGATTGAAGTACAATGGCCAGTTGTGAAAAAGTACCAAATAAGTTTAATAAAAATTGAGCTGGCAGATGCTGCCTCAGACAGGGGACTCCCATGTGAGAGCAATACAAATGATTGGATCTGGAGAATCAAATTCAGACAGATGCCGCAGTCCGCATTCGTTTTAACCTCATGCAGCACAAAGTGAAGCCGATACTTTGCTTAAATGCTTGTGAGTGTTTATATTTCAGCCATTCAGCTTAATACACTTTTTGATTTCAGACTCCCTTTTATGACATTTGCCTCTACAGGGCCTTGAGTTTAACATGCTGTTACGTGTTAGCAAAGGCCACTTTTTTAATTAAACTTTTAAGTTAGAAAAAAGGAAAAAGCAAACAACCGCAGAGAGGAAAGTACATCTAATTCTGCATATTATGTGCTTTTGAGAAGATCTGATAAAATAAAGTAAAGCATAAAAGAAACCTAAATGGGCAGTTAACACTCTGTGCAGAGTACTTGGCAGTAGTGAACTATGCTGTTTAAAGACAAAATAGTCTCTCAGGGCTTAGGGAAAACATCCGCTTATTGCTTAAGTATTCACCAAGTCATTTCAGCACTGATTAATGAAGCACAGCGTTTTACCAACACAGGTTTTTACCTTTATTAAATTCCATATTTTGTAACTGTATAATCTTTTGCAATAAAGTGGCTGTAAACCTCAAACATGAAATATGAATGAAGCATATCCCTCGATAGTGTGTACTAAATGTCATTTCTGTCTGCTGCTTCATTCCTCTACTATCAGCATGAGTCACTTCTGACAAGTTTTCCAGACACCAAGAGAAAAATGGTGACAGGAGAAGGATCTCTAGCAGACTGACAGCCTCAGCTCTATTCATGTGTGCTGTATGAAGGGGGGTGTCTCTTCCCTCCAATCAGCTCTCAGAACTCTCCTTATCGAGCTCTGCAGCGTGTACTGTCAGCTCTCCATTCCCTTTTTTCGGAACTCTCAGCACTTTGAATGGAAGTAGAGAAGAGATGCGTGTAGTGCAGATAAACAGGTACATAATGAAAGAGTGTAAATGGCGAGAGCAAAGAAAAAGTAATAATAAAGAAAGCAGCTGGCACAGTGTGGTAAACCCTATGTTCCCACTTAAACAGACAAATAAAAAATGGTGCAGTGCTAGATTACATGAAATAATTAAAATGTGTCGCCACACAATATAAGTGAATAATGTCCAACATATGAAATGACAGGGACGTAAATGTTGCACAGTGATATGTCCCAAAAATAGAGCCTGACCAGATAATTGTCCCAAAATGTGATGTGATGAAATGAAGCACAAACAATAGTGACTTCTGTGTTGCTCTTCCACCATTATGCACTCAGCAGAAGCAAATAGCAAACCAGTATAGAATGGACTGACACTTTGTAGAAAATCTGCTCAATTCTTCTCTCCAGTCACCGATCCATCCATGCGTGGGATCCCTCCTAAAGTGGGAGCTCACAAACAGAGCCCAGAGACAGCGATCGTGGCGTCAGACCCCAGACCTTCTCACAGAACTCGTGACCGAAGGACTAGCCGATCTAAAACCGTGATGTCATGTGCGTAACAATGCCACACCCAGCTGCACCCTGCACAACAATTTTCCAGCTAATTGGACCACAATCGATGTACCGGCAGCCTGAGCGATTGTTACTGGGTCAGGTTAATTACGCAATTAACCCTTCACACTGCCACCACCTCCTTTTTGTACAGAGAAAGAGGAAACTCGGTGATATCAGTTATAACACTATAATGGTTGAGGCAGGGGTGGACTGACAACTCATGGGGCCCACGGGCAATAGGGGATCATGGGGCCCCTGTGTCCTTGCCCAAACTCAAAAAAGCCTATGAAAAAGGTACCAGGGGCATCTCATGGGGCCCCCTATTGACCCCGGGCCCTCGGGCAGTGACCAGGTTTCCAAATGGTCAGTCCACCCCTGGGTTGAGGTAATCGTCTGTATAACATGGTTATACAGAGGGTTAAACAAACACAGTAGCGTTCTCTTTAGAGGAAGGAATTCGTAAATTGCAATACAGAGCTATAGAAACAGTTCAACACTTTCAGAAGGAAAGATTTATTACTAAAAGGTCAAACGGGTGCAATAAAAATATTTACAGAAAAAGATGTAACTAAGTTATATATATAAATATACAGAGACCAACAGCACAGCAAAGAGATATCTGAGAGAGGTGAAAGGGTTAAGGTACTTGCCAAAGTCCTGGGTTAGCAGATCCAAGTTTCAGAGCGAAAGGGCACGGGTCTCCCCAGGTGGTACTGATGTTAAAATGGGAGACGTCTTCAACTTTTTTCTCTTAGGCCTGACAGCCCAATTTGTAGTTCCCCAGCAGGGGGTGTCTCTGAAGTCAAGAACCAATACCCCGTTTAGGGTGTGGAGGTATGGGCGGATACCTCAACTAGAGCCAAAATATCCCATAACTCATATTTTGGCCCATGACTTTATCTGATTTGTGCTTCCTTGGAATGCCTTAAACTCCTGGGAAAGCTGGGTTATTTTTTACGAGGTGTTAAATGGCACAGGTTGCTCAGACAGCCAGGCACCTTGCTCAGAGAGGTGTTTTATAGCTCTGGGCTCCCTGCCGTGCTCTAGCCTGCCTGTGACCCTTCCAACACACATATGTCCCTGTGGATTAACAGAGAGGAAAGGGGGAAAAATGAGGGACAACATGGAGATTCTTAACAAAATGGAGGACTGCGTCAGTCTCTGGGTATACGCTGTTACAACGTGGAGCTGAATACAGAAAATGGAATAAAAACCACTCACAAAGATGGCCGCCGGACCATCACATGGACTTGGTGGCGGGACGTCAGCACGTAGGCTCCTCTCTGATGTATTTCATGCACACACACATTCTCAAAGGGATCCACCCAATGGGCACTGAGGCTAGTCACTTTACTGGATATATGTGAGGGATTACAACCATTTTTAGGCCCCTTGCACATGGGGTGTCTAGCTACTGTCCAAACCTCCTGGTGTTTTAGCACACCCAGGAGGCACAGGCACAACATCCAGCCCTGCTGCTTCTGGCCTGTCAAAGTATATGGCAGCCTGCAGCTGGATGGGGCTGAATGCTGTACTCATGTTTTTGGGTTATTAGATCAGGGGCTGCATTAAAGCACCTGGAGGCACACACAGCAGCTAGACTTCCCCGTGTGCAAGGGTCCTTACTTATATACATTTTCAAACACCACCAAATGAAATTTAAATGATGTGTTAAAGCAAGTTAGAAGTTTAGTGCTGCTTTAAAATCTTGCTTTCAGGTCTGTGTTTCTTCACATTTTTTTTTCTTTTACTTTAAAAGTATAGACTTAATTCATGAAAGATAAAAAAGGGAAAAAAAGGTCCAACATTACAGTTGTAATACTAGATTACAGAATTACCTTAACAACATAAGCAGTTGCAGAGAAAGTAATTTAATTGTGACTGAAGGAAGTCTGAAACAGTGTGTTTTTGGACGTGTTATTGTACAGTGTAAAAATCACAGGCACCTCATACCACAGCTGACTGTACATGATCAAACAATGGAGCAACAGAGTGGCAGAAAAAAGACACTCATTGGGGTTGATTTACTAAAACTGGAGAGTGTGAAATCTGGTTCAGCTTTGCATAGAAACCAATTAGGTTCCAGGTTATCAAAACTTAATTATACAAGGCTGAAGTTAGACATTGACCGGCTACCATACATAGCTACACCAAATTTTGCACTCTCCAGTTTTAGTTAAACAACCCCATAGTATTACATCTAGCATTTACAGTGCCCATAGACACAATGGAGCAGTCTGATTTACATGATCTGGCCCAGTCTCTCAACAGGTATCTTTATCTGCTTAAGTACCTCTAAGGCTAGTTCAGGGGTGGACTGACAACTCATGGGGCCCCCGGGCAATAGGGGATCATGGGGCCCCTGTGTCCTTGCCCAAACTCAAAAAAGCCTATGAAAAAGGTACCAGGGGCATCTCATGGGGCCCCCTACTGACCCCAGGCCCTCGGGCAGTGCCCGAGTTTCCAAATGGTCAGTCCGCCCCTGGGCTAGTCATACAGAACAA